AAATAAGGAGAGAGATTCTCGCCGGGGAGATGGCACGGCGGATGGAATTGGAAGAGGAGGTGAGGAGGGAACTGATGTCGGAAAGAGCACTTGGAATCACTTGTGGTGAACGAGTTTCGCTGTCTATGATCCCAGGAAGAAGACTGCAAAACTCTGTTCATAACAGCAACATATTTGGTGGACCACAACCCCAGTTAGCTCATAAAGTTGACATCACACAGTTCTATAAGCAGAAGCCAAATGAAACTCTGACTAATAATGTTAGTGATTTATCTAATATTCAATTATTTATCTCATATTTACAGTGTTGTTTGGATTGTGAAAAGTTTTTTATTTTTTATATTAAACAATATTTTTAGGAAGAAGTAGTCACATTGTTTAAGAATCTTCTTTGAATATTTTGTGGTGTTTGGTTCATTTGGTGATATCTATTCTGGAACCTTGATATCAGAAGAATATTTTTTATTTTGATAGTTCAGATTTAAATAAGTATTCAAAATTTGAGTTATATATCTTCATCTAAGTGAAAAGTTAACAACTTGGACTGCAGTTCCTTCATGGAGGTTGTATATTGAGGAACTAAGTTTAGTCCAGTTTATTTTTATTTACTGCATGTTCTCTTAGCATGACCGTTTGGATGAAAACTGGAGGGTTGAAATTGAATGTTAGAAAGTTTGTTAAAATTGTTGAGTTGATGTTAGTATAGATTATATACTTTTACATCTTTCAAAGAAAACTTCTTTTAAATTCTTAACAATTGATTTTGCAACATTACTTACCATTTTTTACATATAATTCATCACTCTGAAAGTTGGAGAGAAATTTGTTTCAATCATTTAAGTTAATAGTAACACAATTATTTAAGAGTGGGGAGAGTAGTGTATAAAGGGCCTTTTCTTTTTTCAGGATAAGTCAGAAACAGTTTGGGAGATGAAAAGAAGGACGACTTTTCTGGTTTATTTACTTTGAGAATATATTTTTTTGTTTGCCAGTTTTCATCCTTGTTTCAACATAGGTGGAATGTTTTGTGTTATAAAAGCAGTTGCATTGGAAATAATTTTGATTTCTTTTCCCAGCTACTCAAAGCAGATTTGTATAGATAATAATTAAAGTATCCTTTACAGTGACCCAAGTCACGTGGCTATTGGAAGTGTGATTTGTGTTTTGTTCTGTTGGTCAACAGTGATTTCTCCGAGGTCCCATGCGGGGCAATGGTTTCATTAAACTTCATTTAGTTTTATTTATCAAACAGTAAAAGGTCTAGCTGTGTTCCATCCATAAACTGATTCAGCTTTTCTTTTTACTGGTGCTTATTGGCCTTTGCATTCTATCATCTTCAAAGTAGTACAGTTTTCTTTCTAGTGTAATTTTATCACTAACTTTATAATGAAAGTTTAAGATCTGAATTAACTAGTTATTGTAATATATTATGTTGTTTATGACCTTGCAGCAGCCAAATGTTGTTCTTTCTGGTGCAAAGTGCAAAGAGGTGCTACACAGAGAGGTGCTAGACGTTAATCTTGTGAAGCGAAAACTCGAGGCTTCTTTTCGGGGTGATGACAAACATTCTGGATCTAGTTTGGAGAAGAAACCCAAGAATGATTGGAGATGTGCATTATGTCATATTGTTACCACAAGTGAAAAAGGCTTGAATGATCATCTTCAAGGGAAAAAGCACAAGATTAAAGAAGCATCTAGAACTCCAAAAATAGGTAAGAACACCAAAACAACATTATCATTACAGAAAAGTAACCAGTGTGTGAAATCTAATAAAGTGGTTNTTGTAATATATTATGTTGTTTATGACCTTGCAGCAGCCAAATGTTGTTCTTTCTGGTGCAAAGTGCAAAGAGGTGCTACACAGAGAGGTGCTAGACGTTAATCTTGTGAAGCGAAAACTCGAGGCTTCTTTTCGGGGTGATGACAAACATTCTGGATCTAGTTTGGAGAAGAAACCCAAGAATGATTGGAGATGTGCATTATGTCATATTGTTACCACAAGTGAAAAAGGCTTGAATGATCATCTTCAAGGGAAAAAGCACAAGATTAAAGAAGCATCTAGAACTCCAAAAATAGGTAAGAACACCAAAACAACATTATCATTACAGAAAAGTAACCAGTGTGTGAAATCTAATAAAGTGGTTTCTACCATGAATTCAGGATTGGTTGCAAGATGACTGGATGGTGAAACACTTCAATCTGGCATGAAGCCTGCATACAAAGGCAAACTGGAACCCGTAAAAATGGATTTGGTTGTGGAGAAAACTCAAGATTTAGGTGGCACAGATAATTAAAATGAAACCACCACTGAGGAAAAAGTTCTGAAAACCAAAGCAATGACTACAAGGAAGAAGTTTAGTTTTTATTGTGCATTTTGTCAAGTTCGAACTCACTCAGAAATTATCATGCAGAGTCATAAAAATGGAAAAAAGCATCTGGCTAATATTAAAAAACATAGCCCAAACAATTCTGTTGATGCTGTTTGTGCTGCTGGAAATTCCGAGTAACAGACATGTTATATGTCTTTGTGCTTGCTTAGGTTCATGAATACTTTTCTCTTTGGGTTATAATGTGTCTTATTTTAGCACCTATTGAGTTGCAAGACATTCTCATTGTCATTTTTGTTTGGATTGAAATAGAAGGAAAAGAAAAAATAGAAATTAAATAAAAAATGTATTGTTTGCAGGAATACAAATGAGAAAAATAAGTGCTATCTATTTCAGGAAACTATTGTTAAGTTATCTAATTTTCATTTGAGACATTTTTTTATCTTTGTAATGATTAAATTTGATAGGTTGATTATATATATTTTCAGGGGAATGTTTATTGTATTGTCAAAATTCTTATTAAACATTTATTTTTAATAAATTGTTATAGTTTAGTTCCAAACAAGGTAAAATATAAGATATTGTATAATAGAGTGAACTTTGAAATATAGAGAACTGCACAGTGAAAATTAATATAGAGAAGTACAATGTGAACAATAGAATGTGATGTTTTAAATATATTAACTATTCATAGAGTTATTTCATCAATCAAATAAATTGATTATTTTGTCTTAGTAAATTTATAAAAATGAAAAACAAAACCAGTATAATTTATTTATTTATTAGTGTAAATAAGTTCATATAGGAGAGAGAAAGAAGTTTAAATGAATACTTTGGGCATGTATTTGTGTGCCAGGATTGATTTTGTCTTTTATGCAAAAGGAGAGAGAAAGTGATATAACCATAAAATTATCTCAGATTTGGAGTTAGTGTTCCAATCTTATACAATGTTCAATCTTATGATTTTTTAAAAATTTTAATTTTTTTAAAAATTTATTTTATCCACATATTTTTTTTTTATGAGACATGATATGACATTCTGTTATGAAATAGTATAATAATGTCACTAGAGTCAAGTATTCTCGTTTAAATTTTATTTTTTTTAAAATAAAATAATATTATTTCTTTCCACCAAATTTATTACTTGTATAAAGATATTTTTATTAAAAATTATAAATATTTAAAAAATACTTTTATTCAAAATATATTTTTTAACTAAAAATTCAATTTTATCTTCAACTACAATTTTTTCTCAATTATCATTGAAATTTTATTAATTAATATCTAAATTTATTTTTTTCAGTCGTTTTAATTTTGAATATTGCAACATATTGCCCAATAACGTTTTTAATATAAGAAAATAAGTTTCTAATTTATACATGCAAAAAATCATAATTTTATCAAATAAAATTTAAATTCTTACTTTTATAATTCACGTATAATTTTATTTTAATTTAAGAATGTATATTTATAGCACTTTTCATGGACCAACCAGAGGTTTTATTTTTAATTTGTTTAAAATGTTAACGGAATACATATAAAATAACATCTCTACATATGATAGTATATATTATATTTTTGATTTGTAATCTATCGTTTAAATGAAACTATTTGAGAAAAAAATAACATAAATGAAATAGAAAAAGCATAATTGTATTATGAAGTAATATATTATTCGTTGTACATAGATAATTTATTTCTCGTTTTAGTGTTGCATCTAACTGTATGATAATTTTGAAATTTAAAATGTTATGATTTTAAAATATATTCAATAGAAAAATAAAAAGGAGCATATCATATGTATATGATACAGAGATATCGAATTAAAAATTATAATAAATAAACATATTACAATATATTTATTTATTTTTTTGGTTGGCGCAATTTTCTTCAATTTAAAAGTTCTTTTCAAATTAAGACAAAAGATAAAAGTTTAAAAACATTAAAAAAATACAAACACTACTGAAACAATTGTCAATGAACTATAAAATACAAAATTATAGAAGTTCTTTAAAAGTCCAATATGACAAAAAAGAGACTTTATTAAAGACTATCAAAATATTAAAAATATATTACACATGTCAACTAAAACAAAAGTAAAAACTTTATTAAAGACAGGAAAAAAGATAATCGAATCATATGGTAGAACTCGATGAGAAAAGTGCCATCACTCATTTTCTTCCAAAATTAAGCTTCATCTAAATTACTATCAACTTAATTACAAGGACAAAATCAGAGACTTTGTTTATATAAATAATTCTGGTACAAGACACATGTTTCAAGATTTCTTAACAACTTTTGCACAGTAGACATTCAACTACTACTCTGTTTTAGCAGCAAGGTCCCAACATCTTCGCCTAAATTCTGGTAAAATAGACAATATTCTTTTATACTTACATTTCTAATTATGGTTCATAAGTTAGGTAGAACACAACCAAGAATCTTGTGTTCCGTAATTTCAATACTAAAATGAACAAAGCAAATCTCTGCCAACTGAACTAACAAAAAGACATAGTAAATCCAGCCACAAAGCACAAGAAACTAAGATCACCCAACTTAGCCAAGGACTTTAAAACCAATTTTGGTGAACCTTTCCATGGGAAAAGATAAATCAAACAACTCATGAGAAGAAGATATGATGAATTAGGAGAACATAATTCTCCATTTCATCTCATATACATATGTATATATATATATATTGAACATATGATTCTATAATGTATGCTTTATCTTTACAAAGGAAAACATAAAACTAGAATGGAAGGTTAAAAATATGTTGCATCGAAATCAGCCTACTGTACTTTTAAAGATCAAACCCTCAATGCAACCTGGTCTTGCCATGAAATCTTCCTCTTCCCTGCCCTATTTGCTCCATCGCCAACACTTCTACAAGCTGAAAGCTTGATGTCGTTGTGCTGCTCATCACTTCCAACTCTCTGTGTACTTCTCTTTGGTTCTTCAATCCTCATGGGCTCACTGTTGCCTTGCAACTCTTCTTCTTCTCTCTGCATCACACCACCCAAAACAGGAGAAAACTATGAGCATTACTTCAACTAAACATAAACAAGTACTTCTGATGTAAACAGCATGTGCCATTAATTACCGATATCTGGTTCAAGTCAAAAAATGGAGTTACACTCTTCTTTGTGGCTTCTTTGCTGCTGTGAATTCTTTCTTTGTGATTCAAGTCTAGTGCTGGTGAAGCAGAACCGTGAATAGTACTGTCTTTTTTACTAGAGCTAAAATTCCTAGCATTCTGGTTTAGATCAAACAGATGGCTAGTTTTTTGCAATGGCACTTCAGCCACATTGGATATCTTTCCATTAGGGTTCAAATGAGATGAAGAGTGAGATCGTGAAGTATGATCCTTTCTACTGTAATTCTTTCCCTTCGAGATGATGGGAGCTTGAATTTTGACCTTCTGGGACTTTACAACTTCTTTCTTTGGTTGAGGCTTTGGAATAGGATGTTTTAGCAAGTATTTGTATCGTTGCCTCAAAAATCTGCAGCCATAAGAGTGACAGTGATGTGGATAAGCACTAAGTATAACAATAAACTCCAAACTATGAAGATCCACAATCTACTTTGAGGCATGAATCATTACCTAACTTCATCTTCAAGTATCAACCTTTTATGCTCAGTATCCTGCAATTTCCTTCTCATGACTTCTGTTTCCTGAACATGTTAGAAATATAAATTTGATGAGAACAGCTTTTGCGTACTTATGTTGGCAAAAAACCTCTGCAGAAAAGACTTGATGAGGAAAATAGACACGTAAACATACTAACTAAAAGAAATTATCTTGACAAAACGAAAGTGAGATACCATGAAAAAGACGACTGTCTAACAATAAGTATTATTTAATTATTGAGTTCAGGATAACATAAAGTGGAAAACCCAGCGGAAAATAAATGGCATGAAACATAAACACACAAAGCTAATTAGGATAAAAGGCCAAGGGAATGGCATGGATTTAAGTTAGCAACCAGAAAAGAGAAGACCTATTAAAGATCAAGTATGATTCAGTTCTTCATAATATAACTAGTTCAAATTTGGTTTACAAATCCAAAATCCACAAGAAACAACAAAACAAAGAAGTAATTGGCAGAAAAACCAAGAGGTTGAAGCTGAAAACTGTGCAGAGGAAAGGTTCCGAGTAGAGCTTTATTAAAAGTATATAAGAAAGAAAAACAAAAATAAGGGAACTCACATCACAATAGCACTACACATGCTACTGTGCTGTGTTATTAAATACCCAAGAATTGGGCATATAAGAATTTTTTTTTTTGTTGGAGTCCAAAAAATTGATATGTGGGGAAATAAACAGACGAAGAAAGAAATATGAGAGATGAAAACAGAGACCATAAAGAGAGAAATGAGAACAAATCCATAATCCATCAGATCGGAACGTAAACACGGATCAAATCCAGACAAACTATCAAACAAGCATATTAATCGAAACACAAGACCCCTTCATTGTTCCCCCCCAAAAAAAACCCTTCAATTTTCACAACAATCAACCATCACAGACCCGTTAGACCAAACAAATACTCATACATACAAAACAAAACACACGATCCCTTTATTGATTCCCTCCAAAAAAGAAAACCCTTAATTTTAAGAACAAAAAACCATCATAGCCCCAAATCAAGAAAAAGCCCGGAATACATAAAGTGAAAAATCAGATCCAGAGAAACCCACAAGCGAAAATTTGAATCTTGGAGGAAAATAGAGAAGAGGGGAAGACGAAGGCGTTACCTTGTGCAAGTCTTCATAATCCTGCAAGAGACTGTGGTGCCTCAGCCGAGTCCTCTGATCCTGATAGAGGTCATAAGGAGGGTCCATGGAGACAACGGCTTTCATCTTCTTCATGAGATCAGAGAGAAAAAAGAGAAGCCAGAAGGGAAGAGCAAACGAAAACTAAAGGGGAAAGGCAGAAAGAGAGAAAGAAGAAGGTGGGTGGTTGGGTGGGTGGGTGGGGTGATGGAACAAAACGTGAGTGAAAGAAATAGGAAAAGAGAGGCCCAAGAAAGAGAGAAGAGGTGAAGGGGTAAGAAGGTTCTCGCTTTCCTGTTTTCTCTGTGAGAAACTCTGACCGAGACAAAGAAACCCAAAAAGCCCACATAACTCGGTGAAAAATATTGTTGTTTTGAAAGAGCAGTGATGAAGATGGGATTTTTTGGGGGCTTGCAGAAGGGCAATTCGGGGAACATAGTTGTGATGAGAGAGAAAGAGTGAAATAGAGAGAGAGATGTATGGTGGGTTTGGTTGGAGGACATTTGAACACATCTAACTTCTCTCTTTTGTTTCCCATTCTTTGTTTTTTGTTTTTCTTTGTTCTACATAAATTTTGGTCCAGCTGGGCCATTGATGAGAGAGAAAGACAGATAGAGGGGTTGGGTTGGGTGGTGTGGACTCTTTGGTTTTGATGGTAGGATGGATGCGTGGAGTTTCCATGTTTCTTCTTTCCTTGTGTGTTGTGTTGTGTCTGTGTAGATAGAGAGAGAGAGAGAGAAATTGGTAATGCGAATGGGTCAGAGAGAGAAAGAGGGTATTGAAGATAGATATGGATAGATAGATAGATACATAGATTAGGGGCTGGAAAAAAGGCAAAGGGATAGATAAATGAGATGATGGGATGACGCTGTTTCTCTGCTACGCTGTAGCAGTTGTTGGTTCCAACCTTATTTTTAGGCTTTGCTTTTCTTTTGGCTTTCAGTTGTTTGGTTTTTGTTGCCCTTCTCAAACCCACCTCCCTCATCGTGCCATGGTGGCTTTTAGGAATCATACAGATCCATCTCCTTTCACCTCACTCTTCTAACCATTTTTCTATTTATTTTTTTTTAATTCAATGGTCAATTGCTCTGCATTTACCTGTCTACCCTTCTCATTCATTTTCATGCTTCTTTTTCTGCTTTTCACCCGTGTCCTGGGTGGAGAAAAGAGAAAACCCAACATCCTTTGTTTTTTCATCATGAAGCGGGTAAAGTAAACAACAAAAATCCCACACACACACCAACCATTTGCCAAATTGCCACATTATTTTCCCATGGATTACATCATTTTAGTGCCTCACTCACTCTATACCTTTACCATTAGAGAGAAGGGTTGATTGGGTACTTTGTCTTCTACACACTCCCAACTCAATCCCTATCTTTATATTTAATGTTTCCTCCATCTTCATGAATGGAATTACGAAGATCCCACCAGCACCTACTTTCAGACTTTTGTGAGTCACACCAACCTACCTACTTAATAGCCACTAATTCTCTTCATTGAAAGCTCCATCACCATTTCTTTCTTTTCCTTTATCTCCCACATTTTCAGATCTCATCTCTTCTTCTCACCATCTCCGCTTGCACATAAATTAAAAAGTTTGGTTATAATTATTTTCAAGTGTACTGCAACTAAAGTGCATGTTATGTTGGGTGGAAAACTTGTAATGGTGGCAATGTAGTTATTGTGTGTGGTGATAGGGGTAGTATTGGTTGTACAAAAGGTGAACCCACCCACTACTCAGCATCCACAGAAACAATGGTAAGAAATTTAAAACTAGCACACGCATTGCAGAGAACTCTCCTTACAACACCAAGATTCTGAAAGGTGAGCAGTGAACAGAGGGGTAAAATAAAGCTGCTGGTGTCTGTTCATGTTGGGGTTTCGTTTAGTGCACCTGTTAACGTTTTTGTCGGTCAATATTTCACCACTGCTACCTGTTAGTCTCGTCAATCACCCTTTAGCTTTCTCATATTCCCTGTTATCTAACATATATGTTAATGAAAAAAGTACTGAGCTTTTAACCAGTTAATTAGTAAAAATTCATGTCGGTAAAAAAAATCACTAAACATTTTAAAAAAACAAAAATTTTGTTATATCTGGCTTCATATGGATATATGAAACATAAATCTACAGTTTTTACAGTTCTTTCTAAGCATCTTGTATTCAGGTTTGTGACGTAAAACTGAAGTTCGGAAGTTGAAATTAAGGGCACATTTATATTCAGCTTCTTTGAAATCATTGAGAGGAAAAGGAAGAGTGATGATGACCTATTTGATGAGGTGTAAATTTGACAGTAACAAGTGAGAAACACATGGCATGCGACAATGAAAGCAATTCGAAGGGATCACTTGTTCTTACCTTACGATTGGTCCAATCTATGACTAATCTTAAACACAAGTACAAACCGAGTTTTCAGTCTCGTTGTCCAATTCATCCATTCAACCAAAGCATCTCCATTATGTACTCGCTTCCACCTTTCACCCTCCAAGCAAAAACAATTGCCTTTTATCAATTCCTCCCCTCCCTTCATTCATTTTCCTTCGCGTTGCTCCTAAGTTCAATAAAGTTTCAAACTTTTTCCCTTTATCATTATGGGATTGGGGTTGGAGAAAACTTTTTAAGTAATTTCATTATTTACAAATCTCCTCATCAAAAGCCCGTCTAGCTCAGTTGGTAGAGCGCAAGGCTCTTAACCTTGTGGTCGTGGGTTCGAGCCCCACGGTGGGCTATATTTTTCCAAACCTTTTTCCTATGATTTTATAAGCAGAGATAATAATATTCAGAGTCAATGATATTTAGAGTACAGATACATTTTGAAAAGGAAAAATCTTTAGCTATGGAGTTTCTTCTTCTTCTTTTTCACAAAGTTACTCTTTTAATGCAGTTGCTTTTGTATTTTACTATTTTTGCATTCTGATAAAAATATTCAATTCATATTTTGTATACATTTTGAATTAAAAGTATTCTGTAGCACAGAACACCAATAAAAACTTGTGTCAGGTTATTCAATTGTTTGTTCTTTCACCTTTAATCTGTTCAAAACAAGTTTTCCGTTGTCTTTTAATTTTTATCATTGCTTTTTTTTCTCCTTTTCAGAAATGTTAAAAGTACTTTAAAAACAATAAAAATTTTACATGTTTTATTTATCTAATATCCACGTTCTTATTTATAAGATCTAAAGATTTTAACATTGATGTGAGTTTTCAAATAAATATGAAAGTCTTCTTAAATAGAATACATAATAACAAATAACTTATGATAGCATTATTGTATACAGGATCTCTAATTTCTCTATTACAACATTTCTCGCTGAGTGAATGAACAGAGACTTTAATTACTAGTGGAAGTAGATTTTATCCTGTGAAAAAACGATCAAGTTATTAGTAGAATCTGTGTAATTGTGGAAGCAGAAACTATAAGATATATAAATGAATGGTGCATTGGTTTAACATGAATGAACGTGTTACAGTGCATGCATGTCAATGTTTTGGTAGTTCTTTTCCTGCCAAAAAGGACTTAAAAAGAGTGTAAGCTCGTTTTGGCTGAAACAAAGGAACTTCATGGCCAGCTCCTCTTACTGTTGCAAATGTTAGACCATTATACACCTCTGTCCATCCACCAACCTAATAAGCAACCACATATGTTAACCTCAGCGTCAAACATGGTACTTGTAATATGCATGTTTTATGGTCTTCAAATATAGTTAATTAACTGTAATACCTGTCCACCAGAGTACCATGGATACCAACGAGTTTTGATGCTTAGGTTAAGGTGGTTCAGAGAAAACCTCGTGGCAGTCACTGGAACCACAGAATCTGTGTCCCCGCTGTGTTATAGCAAAACCAAAACAGTGTTTGTGAGTTTCTATATTATGCAGATATATGAAGGGAATATATATAGATATATATATATATATTATATATATATAGATATATATATATATATAGAGATTATATCGGCATAGTCATACAATATGTCAAAGCTTCTTGATTCTTATTATGCTGATGCTGAGGTTATGCATGTAGGGTCTAGGTTATCAGACAAAATTCTATGCTAAAAAGTAAAGATGAAGGAAAATGAAATTTTCACATCCAACAAAATTTTACACCTATTTAACATTATTTTTTTTACAAAATATAAAATTCGTTTGTTATGACTATTTTATCTCTCAAGTAGGTTATTAAATAGTAATTATTTTTTCAAAGAATAATTCTAAATCTCAATATTTTCTTATTTCTTTTGTATTTTATTTTATATTTTAAAGACATAATAATGTCTTTTTTATGCAATAATTTTTTTCACAGAGTTGGTACATTTTATAAAGTAGTATGATGGTTTTTAAGAAAAATTAAAATCAGAGACTGTAAGCAATGAGCAAACAAAGTATCATATTATTTTTATTTTTTATTTATAATAAACCTATTTTAAAGTTAATCAATAATAATGAGTCTCTTTTATATATATTATATATTTATATATATATAGATATATATATGTATATATATATAGAGATAGGTTTTTTCCCCCACTCATTTGAATTTACAGAATCAAATTAAAAAAGTGGTACTAAAACCATTGAGTTGTCTACGAATGTCAAAGGAGTCAAACTTTGAATAGTCGTGAATGAGATGAGATAAATTACTATAAAATATATATGAAATAATTGAAACTATTATTATTTAACGATTATGACTATATTTGTATGTAAAGACAGATTTAAAACCTACGCTGGACTACCCATTATTTCATAATCCTGCAGCAGTAACTTTTTTCTTTGTATTAGGCAGCACAGAACAATTTCAAATCTTCCAATTTCTTTGGAGCACGTCAATGTGCCAACAAACCAAAGGCAGATTTAAAAAATTGTAAATTCATACAATATATGAACTGAGTTTTTATTTCAATTATTAGGAAAATATTTAGTTCTGCTATAACAGTAAAACTTAGTAAAAAAACCAAACCTGCCAAGCAGTCCTTTGTAAGGACTGTCGGTAACAGTTGCATGCAGTGTTTCTGCACTCTTTTTTTGTTTTTTTTTTTTTTTTTGTTTTTTTTTTTTTTTTTTCTTCTTTTTTTTTTTTTTTTTTTTTTTCTTTTTTTTTTGTTTTTTTTTTTTTTTTTGCGTTGGACGGGAAGGTTAAGATTCTCTGCATAATTTTCAGTGCACGGATCATATCCTGAAATCATATGAAGATTCTTGAATCGTATGTGTTTGACAGTATTGTTCTGTGATGTTGGGCACGTTGGGGTATAGATGCTGTACTGATCTATTTTTCCAAATTCATAGTTAACTGCATAACTATAAGCATCATCACATTTTTTAGATGTTTCTTCTGAAGTGAAATTGCAGTACTTGAGGATGGATTTGTAGGACTGATCGGATATCATAGAATGGGCTCCACCAATAGTGATGAGTTCCAATCCCATCATTGTAGCTATCAGTCAGCATTCCCCACCTGCATTTCATATCACAAGCAAAGTGCATTGTATTACTAAACGAAAGATGTAATTTTGATCCTTAGCATATATATTGAGTGAAAAAGAATTGACTTACGATGAACCCTTTGAGATTAATAATTTGGGGATTCTTTTTATTATAGTCATGGATTTTTTAGCCAACTGGGGGACGTAGTGCCCTAAAGCATAAAATATTAACACCAAATGTCAGATCAAGATTTTCAGACATTAATTTAAAGTTGCTAGTTCAAGTACCTGCATAGCTCTCCCCAGCAATGTAAAACTCCCTATATTTATACTGTGGAAACCTTGACATCCATCTGATAGGAAAATCAGTGCATCTGAGTGTGTGACAAATTTGAAATTCTTAGGATAGAATAACAGTGGTTATGAAATGGTGAAAAACTCCCTTAAATTCAACAGCACTTCAGATTACTTCACCTGTTCTTTTGTCCCCTGAAGTTTGAGCTCAGAGCTGGTATTTGTGTATGAGAAGCCAAACACCAGCAGGCGATTCGAGAAAAAGAATATTTGCTTCTGAAAACCAATTTGAAAAAAGAAAGAAAATTGTGTTTTCATTATATATCGTCATTCTGAAAGGTGGTAGCATGGATGAAAAGAGAAATCTTAATAAAAACATGTGCTACATTTGTAAACGATGTGAATTACAAATCCTATGTAGTGAAGTGACCCAGTTTACTAATAATGAGAGTTGATTCAATGGCCATTACCTCTGTTCCATGCATCTGGGTTGAGATATAGAGAAGATCCAGTTTTGTTTACACGGAATGGCCCAATTTCCTCTGATGCACCGTATGCTACCGATGAGCATCCAGGCCCTGCACCAGAAATGCAAAAGTTATCAGTTCACTGTGATTTCACACATGCAAGAGCAAGTATGCAGATGCACTTTTGTGTATTGAGGAAATATTGTGTGATACTTAGTTTCATTGCCATGTTTTACTTGAAGCTTTAAGGTTGTATATTCAGCCATACTTAAGACATACACTAAGAAAATTACTACACAAAGTTGCATCATCCCAGTCAGAGAACTGATATGGATATGCAAGTGCAGTGTGGAAATCCTTATAATACCTACCACATTCTCTAATTAAGCCATAAAGGTTTTCGGCCTTAAATTTCAACCATTATAACTTTTTGGTTTGTTGTCTAATACAGTTTCAGACGAGTGTGGGGAAAGTTCTAAAACTTTCTGGTCCAGAATTTGGATGGGACGGGACCACAGTAGCATTACCAAGTCTTGACTTTCTTTTGAAAATTTTGTCTTTGTCAGATGGGGTTTCATAAATGATTATACCAACAATACCTTTTGATTACTTAAGGTTTTTGTTTTAAAAAATTGCAACCACAGCTTAAAGATACTATTAAAAAACAGTACTAATGTGTTCAATATCTCTATATATATATGATTAGTAATTCAGATATGACATGTATAGTGTTTGTATAAATACTTTTACTGTTTTAAATAATTGGAGATAATCTTACACGTGATTAAAGTAATTATTAAAAAAATAATGAATTTAATGCCATAACAATAATTCATGAATTAATTGAGGTAAACTTTATCCTGAACTCCAATTAAATTCTGGAAACGTATAATTTAGAAAATAAATGAAAAGGTCAAACAACTCTGGTTGAATAGTGGATTCCAAGAAAAATAAGAAATGCCCAAAAAATTTTGAGAGAGACAGGTACCCAAAAAAGGGATAATTAATGAGAAAATAAGCATCTTTTGAAGGTACAAAATGGAAAGGTTTAGAGTTCACTGTGCGTTGAGTTGCTGTTGTTTCTGTTTGGTTTTCTACCTAAAATACAAAGAGGGAACAAAAAGGTTTTGTTTTTTCTTGGGTAAAGTATGGAATAGGTTCTTCCAGACAGGGAATATATGTCAGAAATGGCACAAAAAAGATACAGACAGAGTTAGATCACGAGGTCACACATGGGTCACCCTAGTTTTTTTTTTTTCCTTATTATTTTTGGCTCTATTTTTCTTTTGTTTTCTCCAACTGTGCAGAAAGACTTCTGCTTTTTCTTGAAGTGCTTGTTCTCATTTTTTCTTCCTCCGAATCAGTGGAAGATGGTAGAAGAAAACACAGTTATTTTTTAGCAAAAGAGAAAAGGAAAAGAAGGGAAATAGTGAAGATTGTAAAGTCAAGCGTGACAGAGAGGTAGATGGGTGCATTAATAGACCAATCTAGATAGGGTTGGTCATTTCGTAGAACGGTCAACACTCAACATGTGCAATAGTGTAAGGTTTTTCCTTAATGGTTCAGCAAAGTACAAAGTCACGGAAACACAAGCTATCAACACTTCAAAAATATGCAACGCTATGGAATACTGAACAACTTAATTACGCAAACCTACCAGAAAACTTCAGTTGTAAATATGCATAAACCAGAGTTTAATTTTCAAAATCCTTACAACTTACTTCAATTTCAGTTAACTTAATGTTGTCTTATACCGAATGTTCAACACCCTTTGGATTTTACTACAATTCATCTGTCAAATGAAATGTTCAATCGTTTTGGTTAGAAAAGCCTACTGTGTTTAGGCAGTTCTTGTGATTCTTAGCTGGTGCATGCAATAACAATTCATTTCCTCATTAACTTGCAAAGCTTTTGAGGATGCACGAAACCTTCTGCTAAGCACATACAGTTTAATCGCCAACATAAATATAATATCTTTCTACGGTAATACATATGTAGACTAAACAGCAGTTACTGTTTATGTTGTTTCTTCCAATGATAATTATAGCTTTATTTCTATAATTTGTGTGGTATAAACTAACAGAATGAAACTCTAACTTGTATTGTAGTCAAAGGTGGAAAGAAATATGTATCTTCAACTGACAGTGCCCGAAAAGAAAAGAAAAAGTAGGTAGAATTGAAGGTGAGGAGTTAAAGCTCTCCCTCACACACACACAATATATGTAGATATACATATACATACATACATATATATATATATATATATATATATATATATATATATATATATATATATATATATATATATAGAATCATAGACTAACCTCCATTGAGCCACAGAACAAGAGGCTTATTCTGAGGAGAAGAGGGAGATTCAGTGAGCCAGTAGAAGAGTGCTCGACCATGTTGCTCGTTCACAGTGACATAACCTGAGAACTGAGAGAATGCCACACGTGGCTGCCCTGGAAGTGCTGAGATCCGATCTTGTTCTTGCTGTTTTGGCACAGCAGCAGCAGCAACAAGGGAAGAAAATACAAAGATTGATAATAAGCACAGGAAGAAGGTATGAACCTTCCTTTGGAATGCCATCATTATTTTGCACTCTAATTTAAATTTGTAGCTATATATTAATAGCACACGCCAGAGGGGTTTAAGGGCAAGTAGAATTTATATATATTTAATATGTTCTCCCTCTCCCTCTTTCTCTCAGTCTATATTTCTCTGCTAAGTACTAGTAAGACTCTAAAACTGTTGTTTGTACTAGATCTATATATAGAGAGAGAAAAGAGATGGGAAGGGTAGTAGTAGCTATAGCCAGAATTATATATGCAAGCCAGCTTATATATATGTATATATATATATAGGCATACGATCATGGAACTGTTGAGGATGTTGATACCTCAATTATAAGGTACTCCTCATAGGGTGGACTCGGTTGCATTACTAAAGACAACTTGCATGCCAACTTGGATACGAAGAGAGAGAGTAAGAGAGTAGTACAAGGCAACTGAAACTTTAATCAGATACCCATGCCCGATGAGAACAAATTAGAAAACAAACATATATAAATACATAGTATGCATATTGCTTTCTCCGACCCTCCCTCTCTTATTCTCAGTCTCAATCTCAATCTCAAATGACCATTCAAAGTTTTCAAATGAATGGCCATCAGTATCACACATATGTTAGATATTCTCACTTCTAGATTTTTTGGGGTTATGCTCATAAACTGGTAAAAAGTTTTAGAGTCACTGTTTTTCAAAATTATACAAGTTAGACTCAATGTGGCATAGATCAGTCTTGTATAAATGTTTCTAAATTGTAGATGAAAACTCTCTCTCGGTACTCGCAGAATAACAAATGAAATTCTGTCTTATGCTTTAAAAACTTAAATCAGTAGCCAGTTATGTCATCAATGTTGTTTTTTGATACATATAATATGGTTTTCTGAGAGAAGTTTTTTTCTCTCTTTCCTTTGCTAAGGATGCAGTGCAATGATATATCCAATATAGACGGCTACAGTTCGCTTTGTGTTTGACTGAAATATAATAAACAACACTAAAAACTATATAGAGACAGCACACAATTGGGTGAAACTATAAGGTATACTCCAGTTGCTTCATTGATTAAGCTTCGTTTTGACTAAGTTTCAATGAAATAGATATAAAAGTTGGATTGGAAGATTGTGTAACATGAGGTAGCTTAGCGATGACTTCAACCTCCTGAAGCCAGCTAACTAATGGTGTTGAATGAATGAAGAATTATTTTATCTGTGGTTTTGGAAGAGAGTGAAGAATAGTTTATTCCATGTTGACCAGGTGATAGTTAGAATGAAAAATGAGGGTGAACGAGTGTGCGGTGCATTAAGTTCTTTGTTCTGAGGTTTAAAGGAGACCTAAAAATCCACCAAATAACTGTTTTTATCGTTTTATCACGGGACAAAAACTTTAGGAAAATGTCTTTTTTAACGATTTTTTTACAATAACTTAAGCTTTACGTAATTTGTCGGTTTCAAATATACAAATCAATAAAATAGTTATACATGATCTATTGTAAAAAAATTATTAAAAAAGGTTATTAACATACCATTGTCCAAAACTTTATTTATTACTAATTAATACTAAGATTTTAATATCAGATTCTGTCTTTAATCGATACGAGATTTTATCACTAATCGAGACTTTATCATTAATTGATTACAAAATTTTATCACTAGTCAATGCTAAATTTTAATAATCGTGTTAAAGGTTTCACATCGACTAGAGATAAAATCATTTTATAATATATACAGATACGTGTACAAACCTCACTTTACAGACAAATTTTGTGAGGTTGAATTAGATTTAAAGTTTATATTTTAACATAGTATTAAAGTCATAGATTATAGTCTATTTCAAACTGTCCATTAATATCTAATCCTATATTCTATAATAAACATAAATTTTATTCTATAAATCAATTTTGTAAGATTAAATTAGACTTAAAATTCTTTTCTATTTTAAGATGATTCAGACCTCCATCGTAAACATGGATTCCTTGACATATAAGACAGTGGTTGGAGGTGGCCCCAACCCTTTTTGCAACCATTAAGTCGAGGGCTCACAAGAAAACGCTAGCTCTTGTCGCCTCACTTTTGTTCCAGAGTGCTGTTACTGATGCTGCAAGACTCATAAATGTTGCACGCTATTATTTTCTCAAACAAAATTCCAATCATACATTCAATACAAAACTACTAAATCAATTTTACTTTTCACCCCTCATGGCTCAAAGTTAAGTTTCAATACTTTAATTGAATTTTTATTAAATTCTTTTTCTTATTTAATACTTAAAACTTTCATATCTTTAATTCATTTTTTTCTTTAATTTTTCTATTAATTAATTATTGATCATTTGACTTCACGTGTTAAAAAAATATAGGATTTTTTATTGGTTCAAGATGATATTATGTTTTACGTAAAACGACAAATCACATATTGAATAAAGAAAACGGTCTCATTAATCAACACAACCACTTTGTTATCTTATATCACTTTTATATTAATTATGAAATTTCATATTTCTTAGACAAAAATAAAATAAAATAACTAGACGAGAAGTTATCTAATTAAAATAAATAAATAATAGATTCGTTGAAAAATATTAAATTTTAAATACTTAGTAAAAAAATAATATTACCTCAAATTTATAAAAACTGTTAAATTTAATTAAGTCTTTTACCAAAAAATGTCATATACAGTTATTATTGAGTAACTAAATTCTTTTCTCCTCACTTTTTTCCAATCAATCGTGTAAAAAACTAATTTATTTCCATTTAACGAGTAAATTAATAGCTAATTAAAAGTTTTTTATTACATGATGGTGGCTTCCTAAGTCTTAAATATGTACTTGTTGAACAACATTTTTTTTATTTATAAAAAGAAACATAAATTCTTTTACAACATGGCATGTGCGTTGATATATATACTATAGTCTTATAAGTATTGGAATGTAATAATGCAAAAAAGGTGTTGTTAGTTCTTAAAATTCGTCCGATGGCTGGCCTTCTTTAAATTATACATTTTCGTATTTTAAATTTGTATACTATATTAATTTCATAATAAATATATTTTTAATTTTTAATATGTTAAATATAATTAGGCTAAAACTGAGAAAATGGCTTAATTACATTCATAATTAATATGTTAAATTTTTAATTATATATTTTTAAGATTGAGTTAGTTGTCATCATCATTCCATAAATCTAACTCTAAAAAAAATTGCATATTACTAACAAAATACAATCCATGAATAATAACAAAAAATTACTTGAAAGTTTAAATTTATTAACTAACTATCAATTCATCGGTAAAGTTGTCGATGATAAATTTTAAACCTTGTTCTTTTGAGTGGATTTGAGGAAATGAATTTGAGGGGATTTGAGAGGATTTGAAGATAATTTTTTTTGTTATTTTTTTGAGCGAATTTGAAGATAAATGAGAGTGAATTTGAAAATAAAATTTGTGAGAATTAGTATAGAATTGTATTGCCGTGACAAATTAAAAAAATTATTTTCAAATTCACTTTCATTTACCTTCAAATTTGCTCAAAAAAACGACAAAAAAAATTATTTTCAAATTCTCTCAAATCCACTCAAAAGAACAAGCCCGAATCACAAAATTCCTCCATAATTATTAATGATGACAATTTTGTCTATAAAATTATTGTTATATTTGGTAAATGTTGCAATTTTAAATTTTTTTCTTTATTCTCTCCCTCCCTTCACCTTTTTCTTTTTCTTTATATTTCTCTTATTATTTATCCTCTTATCATTCACCCCCCTCCTCTTTCTTACACCCCTCCATCGTGGTCATCTTTTCCTCAGACTCTTCCTTTTTCTCTCCTTCCAACTTTCACGGTCATTACATCATCATCGTCATCGCATATTGTCATTACACATTTTTTTTTTCTGTTTATATTTCTCATATTCCTTGTATTCTTTATTATCTTATTTTTCTCACTCATTTCTTTTTAATATATAAAAATAAAATTCCATCAAAGTTAACGAAAAAATTATTGCTCATTTTATTAACGAGTTTATCGATAGAAACATTTGTTGGTAGTATAAATTACAAATTATTAATGAAATTTATTAATAAAATACTTTACTGATAGAACTATCTAACGGTAATACAAATTTTAATTTACAACTAATCTCACTAATAGATTTTATTAATAGAAATATTTATTGGTAATTTTAATAATAAAATTCATTAGTAAAATTTGAGTTTACTTACGAATTTATTTTTGTCGATAAAAATAATTTTGAAATTTAAAAAATTATTGTAGTGCAAATCCTGATAATGAAAATTTTCTCCTCGATGTATATGAGAATTTCTTGTATCAAAGTATTATGAATGCATGTCTTGTTGGGGTATAAAAAGTATAAAAGCATCACAACTAAAGTTTTTATATATCTTTAAATTATCTCCTCGATAAAAACTCATCAATATTATATACATTTAAGGATTATTATTATATGATTATTTTATATAAAATTAGTAACATATTATAGTATAAATAATAAAAAAATTATTTGAATTTTTTTATGTACACTATATAATAATAGTAGTAATTATTATTGTTGTTATTTCGTTGTAATTTCAAAACCAAAATAATCCTTGTAAATTAATCGAATAATGAAAATTAACATACATGAATATTTTAGTTAAATCGATTATGAGATCATCTTGATTCTAATATGTGTGACAACTTATATATGTTCTCGACCATCTTAAGATGTTACACACAACGAAGAACGATATTGTGTCGGTCTCAAGCAACAATATATCATCCTAGTTACAGGTAAGCCAATGTTTATTTTGTTATTTTTCAGTAGAAATAAAATCAAGAGTTAAACCATTTTACCAAAATCATCATTAGACAAACTAATTCTAGTAACCTTACAAATAAAAATCAATAAATAAAATCCTATAAACCTAGTATTTAATATAAATAACACTAATCACAAGCTAATTAATATTTTTTGTCATTACCTTTATTTGGAGTGAAGTTGTAATTTGGATTGCAAGAACATTTAATTTAAAAAGACAAAGAAGAGTAATATCTAATTTAATACTTAAAGGAATTTAAATGATTAAAAAAATCTCATTATGCAATTGTAATTATATATATATATATATATATATATATATATATATTATCTTTTCAAAATTCCATATAATTTTTTTTATTTTTTAATAAGATAAAGGTAAACGATATATTTTTAACAATAAATAAATAAGTGATGAATATAATGTATGAAAGATATCACCGTGATATTTTTCCAACAGCAACGATAGA